CGCTGCGAATTATGTTTCAGGATGACATGGAAATTCCCAACGAACCGGAAATTCAACTTCAAAATGCATCCAGTAAATCAACAGATAGCAAAAGAAACAAGTCACCGTCGTCTCCTTTGCCTTATCACGCGGTCGATTTACAACCGGACGCTCCGCCGAGTAAAAGACGAAAATGTAGAGAAAACGCGAACGCGAACGCGGAGAAGGCTGCCAGCAACGCATTGTCCTCGAAAGACACCGAAAACAAAACGTCAGAGAATCAGACGTCGACCGGTTCGGATCCCGTTGAAATAATACCCCTCATGCCGAATTTGAAACTGGAAATGCCTGAATATTTAGTACAAGACGGAAGTAGCTGTAGTTACGAGGATCAGAGTTTAGGAGACAGTTCATTAAACAAGATTGGTATAGAGGACACGTCGTCCAATACTCCCGACCACGATCAGAAGCCCGACATCAGTCAAACATTTTATTCAAGTAGTCAGTCTACTTCGGATAATCTGGATCTCAAACATCAACCTGCGGATGTCGGTAAGAAGTACAATAGTGCGTATACATTAATGATTAACAGCCGATTATATTTATACAATTCTGTGAAGTGCTATAATATCACGATTTTATGTTTCAATTAGGACACCTACTTTCAAAACCTAGCACATCCGGGGAAAGATTAACGCAAGAAGCAGTGCAGGGTAAGTGTTTCTTGATTACTATCTTTCCCTATGTCTGCAGAATGCAAACGCGATGCTTTGCCATATCTTTTAACATTCACGAAGGTTCTGCTAGCAAACGGTATTACAATATCTCTCGATAGCGTTTGTTCTCGCATATAATTGACCAATGAATATTTGTTCAGACTTAAGTGTCGCCCTTATGCACTTTCGATCCCCCTTGAGGAACTAAAAGAAATGGCATGGCGGTGAAATTTCGATGTTTTGTGCCCACGTATCGCGCGCGGTGATACATTCGAACCGATTCAAAAAAGAAAAAAAAAATTCTACACGGAACATTGGCTGACGATGACACTTTCACGCGCGATTCAAATGAATACATGAAATCAATCGAATCTATCATTTCCCTTTGGTAAACACCATGGTATTTCTCATCCGAGACGCGAATGCGATGCACGTCAATGCGCGTTCTCTTAACGTGGATACAAAACAGTCCTTATTACATCTATACTATCTCTCTCTCTCTCTATACATATATATATTATAACTTTGATTAGTTGAGTTTGATGATGAATTGTGCGGAGTAAGAGGGAATTAATTTCTTTGATCGATTTGAGGGGATAGTTGCGTGAATCTCTAATAACGCAAGTCGTACAAGAATTGAGTAGCGTACAAGCAACAATAGCTTCTTCACACTGTTCGAACGCGTACAAAATTTTTGTTCCGTGCCGTTTCATAATGTAAAAGTTTAAAAGCATTTCGCGGCGTTCGAACGTACAGAAACTCATTTCCATTTACTCGTGGACTCGATCGTTAACAGAGAAATAAACAGAAAAAGCAAACGAAAAAGAAAAGAAAATGTTCGCAAGGAAATCAGGTTCCATTGGACATAATTCACGATGATCCAAGCTGGCAATTCATC